ATAAATTTTTAGGCACATTAAAAAAAAAAATCCGTTCTAAATTGCAGCTAACTTTTAATTATTAATATTTCAGGAAAAAAATATGAAAAATGTAAAGAGGCATATGGGCGACAGGTCCCACTGCACTAATTGACCACCTCCCATTAAAGGTAAACTTTTGCCTTGGATTCTGTCAAGTAACAAATTTTCTGTACGTACCATTTTATTTTGCCGCAGAGATTTGTCTATATCATGGGATCCACCATTTATTCGCTAGCAATTAATGTACTGTTTTTAGGAGAGTGCAGCGAACTTTGCAACTGAAAATAATTCGATTTAGACCTGACAAACTAGTAGGTTGGATCGGGTTAAGATTGGATCAGAATGGGTAACGGGTTAAAATGGGTTGGATTAAAATGGGTTACGGGTCAATGAAGGTAGATCCTAATCCGTCCATCATGGGTCATAGGTCAATCCGTAGGTTGACCCAATTAATTTATTTTTTTTTTATAATTTAAAGTTTATAAAAAAATTTAAGAATTAATTGTTAAACTCTTTATTTACATCTTAATTTTATTAATAATTTTAGATTTTTTTAAAAAAATTTAAATCATAAAAAATATTAACTGATAATTTTTACTTGTCAGTGTTGTGTAGCTTTTAAAATTTTCCTGTAAAACAACTGCTTCCCAATTGGCCCCGCTGGCCACGGCACTACCAAACGTACCGAAAGGCTTCTTCTTTTTTTTTGGTTTCTCGTCCGGTATCCGGAGCTTCGCCCCGACTAATCCGGATCGAGTCGCGTCGCGCACCTGAAAATGGTGGGTGAGTCTTCCAACGGAAACTGCTGCGTACATAAGGTCTCAAACTCGAGATCTTACTTAAGCTGGAATAAGCCGCATACCATTTAATCCAATCCCTCGTTCGTCCGAAAGGCTTCTTGACATGGTGCAGACTGCAATATACTTTGGAGCTGCTTCAAAAAATTTCATTGCCTGTAAAAATATAGAGTTTTTATAATTAAATGA